CACAAAGCGTCAGATTCTGGACCGTATCAATGACCAAGGATCAATGACATATCAGGGGGACACAGTAGCAGGAATGCCGGCATTCCCAAGTGGCTATCTTTAGAGGTTCTGTCTCCTCCCTACCAGCCATGCCTCTCTTCTCCACTCTCCACTGACGATACAACTTGTCATTCTATACCTCCAAAGGCTCTCTGTGGTTCCTGGCGGAGGACACATGTACATACCATGAGTCAACACGGCCAATGGAAACCACTCCTAGGAGCTCATCCACTTATTCTGACTCCCCTAGAATAGCACTGTGCTTATTCTTCTACTGTCTCGGGCCCTAAAATCCTACCTGCTATCAGCTAGTACCTTAACACCTACTGGATCAAAATCATCCTTTGAGAGTCACAGTGAGTGAATGGGAGAGAGAGAGAGAGAAGAGAATCATGTGCCAGAGATGGCGCAGGTCAATGCCAAGAGTCCAGACATCTATGTGGGTCTCCTCTGTGGATGGCAGGAGCCCAGGCACTTGATCTGGATCAGCTGGTGCCCCTGAGGATGCAGGAACAGGCCCACCAGCTCAGATGATGGATGCTTAGATCTGGGCCAGGCCACAGTCCTCTCCTCCCACTCACAGCAGCTCTACTCCGGTGTGCCTCATCAGCCACACACATCTGAGAACCTTCCTGAAGAACAATCATAGGCACAGCTTCTCACCGACACCACAAGCAAGCTGCTCTACATTTGTGGGTACAAGAAGCAGCACTTCAGCAGACACCACCCGCGACAGTTCCTAATTCTGGGAGTCTGTGCTCTTAACCGCCAGCCTCGCGTGTAGGTGCTCAAACCTCTCCCACCATCAAGAACATCACGGCATGCTCTAAATAGAAAGGGGAAAAAGAACTTTAACAAAGCATTACAGACTCCCAAACACGGCCCAGCGTACCCGCACAGACACCGCACGAGCAATCACAGCTGCACACTCCACAGCTGGACCCAGCGTGGACCTCGGGCTCATGCTCACCACACTGGGAACGCATCCTATCAGCGTCACAAGCGGACAACACTAGGCATCCAGTGCAACTTTCTTGTTTCCATGAAAAGGTTAAAAAATATGTATGTTTTAACATGACCCCTTAGCTACAGCTACGGTTTAGAAACCAGTGACTTAAAGTCTTGACAATACATGAATACCACCTTGTTTGGGTTTGGGGCCAGCGTTGTGGTGTAGCCAGTAAAGCCGCTGCTTGCAGCACATGCATCCGATATGGGCACCAGCCTGCATCCTGGCTTCTTGACTTCCAACCCAGCTTCCTAAGGACTCCCTGGAAGAAGCTTGGCCCTTGCTGTCCCCCATGGGCGCCCCAGATGACGCTCCTGTATCTGACCAGTGTTCGATCTGAGTGTCACTGCTTTGCTTTGACACCATTTCTGGACCGTTTTTCCGGGACACTAGAGTTTTTATGGAGAAGTGACGATGACTCACATGCCATTCATCAAGCAGAGAAGGTGTGCTTCCCAGCCAAGGCCACTACAAACCCCGGGAAAGATCATTGTCACTTCGCCGTCTGCACTCTGCTATTCATTCCTACCCTGTCTGCACTCTCGTGTTGCAGAACCCACCATTCCACCCAGAATCATGCTGTTCTCCTCAATAAACAGTATCAGACCTTTCTGGTCATGTTACTGCATTGCCTTTGCCACTGAATCTTCCTGAATCAACCAAGATTCTCATGTGACTTACCCAGTTTTGCTAGAAACATTTTTAGAAATTAAGAATTTCATATTTTTAGTATTTTGACAAATGGGATATGCCTTCACTGGCCATAGATCATTTCTCATGGTAGCTCTGAAGAAGGGAAGAGCACGGTGTGTGGGTGAATGGAGAGGAACCCCTAAGTGCACAGAGACAGCCGACTTGCTAAAAGGCTGCAGTATCACTTTCGACAATCGTTTTCATGTTATGCAGTTGCCTCACAGAAGGAAGAGACTCCAAGTACTGTCCTTTGTCATGTCCATGCAATTAGTTAGAACTTGTTACACAAGGGTACCTCAAAATGCTTGTATGAAAGCAGAAATAAAAGTAAGCTTATTTCTGGAGAAAAGTTTTCTGAAATCCATGCAGTCTTTTCATAACACACAGCTTCCATGGGCTGCTGTTGTTTTTTAGCAAGCACCTTCATATACTTTCTCGCCACTGCGTGCATTCTGGTCCGTTTCTAACTTGAATCAAGGCAGGCAGAGATCTGAACGACAGAATTCCCTGGGTAATACGCTGCTTGGTAATGACCGCACATCTGACTAATCCTTGTACCTGGAAAATGCAGCAGTTGAGCAAAGGTCATAAATTCTATATTTTATGGTCACATTTACAAAGTAAAGCATCTGCTCTTTGCAAGCATTAAAGAAAACTGTCATTTTTCTATTGTGATTCAGTAAAGGTATTTAGAAACCACATAGATTTGTGCCATTCAATATATTCTGTGAGGAAAGAAAGCTTTTTGTTTTGAATCACTAGCCTCTGACGTGCATTGATTCCATGGGCCTTGGCATGGTTACAGATACCACAGGGTGAGGCTCACAGAACATTTGCAGCATAAGGAATCCAAGTCCTTGGGACCTCACACTCAGGTCAGAGACGTGGAAGAGGCTCCTAGTTCCCAACTCCAGATCAGCTCAGCTCTGGCCAACTGGAGAGTGAATTAGAGGACTGAATATTGTTCTCTCTCTCTTTCTCTCTCTCTCCTTGTCTTGAACTTATCCAGTGTGATACAGGTGATAAAGGCAGAAACCTGGCCTCCAAGCACCCCACCGAATCACTGTGCTAACCGGGCTTGCACCTGACAGTGTTCGTTCCGGAAGCCACAGGGACACAGTGAAGTGACACTAATCAGGGCAACAGGCAACGGCCTCATTTACACACTTGACCTGACCAGGCAGGTGAACCAAACAGAAGTCCGCATGCAACATAACCATCGGGAAGAGAGCCTAGAGGAAGCAAGGCAAGAGCAGTGACCTGCTATTGAGCAACTAGTTCAAGGGTAAAGATCATACCACCCTATACAGGAAGTTTGCAAGTTTCTGTACGTTGTGCTGTGAAAAACCTGAAGCCTGCCTTACTTTTAAAATCTTGTAACATGTTACTTACATTAAAAGTTGCCTATACTGAGCTAAAAAACAAATGGTAAGGCCAGAGTCGCCGAAAGGGGACAGTTAAGGAATGATGAAGCAATGCCCAGGAAACGAGCAAACGAACGAAGCACAGGGGACACCAGCCTGAACCTGTGCTGGGTAAACTGGGCTGGGCTCCGCGCTTGTTGCAGGCCTGGGAAGCAAGAAGGGGGCCAGCACGTAGCAGTTACCGGCTTGGCCACTGGCCAACAATTACTGTCCACAAGGTCCGGAAGACAAGAGACACTGAGAGGTGGTAGGGAGCTGACAATGACAAGTTCAAATCAATCTGAGAGAAATGCGCTGGCCCCTCTCCCCGGAACAAGCCGAGCATCCCACCTGACGGCTCACCCTGGAAAGGAAGCGTCCTCATCGCCTTTCCAAACACAGGGAGCACCTGGGCTGCAACCAAATCTTCATTTTGGCAGATTAGCCGGCAAAGAGCCAGGCCTGCCAGGACCCTGCCACTCAGCACAGCTGTTAGAACTAGGCCTGGGGGGTGGGGGGGACCCGGCGCAATGGCTCCGTTGGCTAATCTCCCCCTTCAAGCGCCGGGATCCCACACAGGCTCCAGTTCATGTCCCGGCAGAGGGAAGAGCTTTCTGTTTGTCCTTCTCTCTGTAGATCTGCCACCCCAATGAAAATAATGGAATCTTTAACTAGGACTGGTGAAGCCTGTGGATGTGTGGCTCAGTGGGCTAAGAAGCCAGCTGAGACGCCAGCCCCCCATTTCAGAAGGCTCACCAGCAGGCCGGGACAAGCTCGCCTTCCGGCTCCCTGCTGATCCGTGTGTCAAGGCAGTGGCTGACAGCCCCAAGTGCACAGGGAGATGGGAGAGGAGCCAGCCCTGCTCCCTCCATCCTCAGTCCCTTAGACCTCACCGTCCTCCTAACCCCCCAAAAAACAGCTTTCACGCCGTGTAAAGCGTACGCAGCCGGAGCCGGCAAACTCCAGCACTTTAAGCTAAAAAGTCTTTGCTGTGCTGCATATACTTTTCATAAAACATCCATTTTTCTTTGACAACTCTGGCATGGTGTCAAATACTCCTTAACTTTCCGAGTCTGAAATCCTAAAATAAAGCAAAGAAATTTAAAAACTTTTGAAGAAATAACAGATTCTCTATGCTTAAGAAAGCAAACAGCACCAGGTAAGACCTGCTGTCGGATCTGGGTCAGTTAAAGCAGAGTTCCCTACCCTGTGTCAGGACTGTTGTCCCTTCCCAGTAATGCTGAAGAGAAGCCCGGCAAACGACCCTGGGGGGACTGCTGCTCCCCTCGGCCAACGCGGGAGGCGCGGTGCCAGCTCCCCAGTCCACTCCTGGGGAGCCGGGGACCCACCCACCCCAATGGGGTTCTAGCGGTTCACAACACGTTATCTAAGCTTGGACAGAAGCAGGTGGGAGAACTCATCAGGAACGAATTTATCTAAATGCCAGTATCTCATCTATAGCAAGCACCTCTTGAAAATAATAACTAAGTTTGTCCACAGTTTGGCCTATCGCTAAGTCAGCAGCAAATGATGACGATGATGATAATAATAATAATCACCAGCAAATAATAATAACAATAATAATAAAATAACCCGCTCATCCAAAGCCCCTGCCAGCTCCGCGCGCCTCCGCCCAAGTGCCCAAAATTCGACCCGCGTTCTTCTCGCTCCCCGTCCCGCTGCCGGGGCTTTCGCAGTTCCCGGGGACTGAAGCCCGGAGCCCGAGAACCGGAGCCCGGAGCCCGGGGATGGGAGCCCGGGGACTGAAGCCCGGAGCCCGGGGATGGGAGCCCGGAGCCCGGGGACCGCAGTCCGCGCTCACCCACCGCCCGGCTCCCGGACCCGCGCGCCCTTACCAAGCCTGCGCCCGCGGCCTGCGCTCCCGCGCGCTTCTCGGGCATCGCTGCCACCTCCGCTTCGGACACCGTTTTCCGCTCCGGCTCCCGCGGCGGCGGCCCGGGGCTCATGCCGCAGCCATGCCCGAGCCGCCTCGGGACGCTCCGGGACGACGGCCACGCCGCGGGGGCGGCGGCAGCGGCGGAGGCGCCCTGGGCTTCATGGGCTCCGCGGCCCCCGGCGGCCTGCGGGCAGGGTGGCGGCGCCAGCGGCCACGCCGAGCGCGCCGAGGGACGCGGGGACCGAGGGCACCTCCCCGCCAGCGGCCAGCAGGCGGTCAGCAGGCCCAGGCCGGCCGGCTCCCCTCAGCCCACAGGCCAGCGCTCCGGCAGCCCGGCCCCGCGCGCCCCCCGCCGGCGGTCCGCCCGCCCCAGGCCCCGCCCACAGCGCGGCGGAAGTGCGTCATCTCTCGGGGCAGCCCTGGGCTGCTTGTTCCGTTTCTGGCCAGGCGCAGGTGGGTTTGAATGACAGCGGCTCTTTGGCGCCAAACCACGCCGAAGGGTTGAGTTATAGTGCCCATGTGTACAGGCTGTGTTAGGAACAATCCTTTGATGTAGGAATATAAGTCGACCTCAATAAAGCCATTTGGTTAAAAAAAGAAAAAAAAGAACTAAGCAGGGCTGTCAGTGCATGCTTCAGGGTCCCAGAGAGACGCTGGTTCGTGTCCCGGCTGCTCCACGTCCCCATCCAGCTCTACTGGGAAATCAGTAGAGAATGATGCAAAACCTTCGGACTCTGCACCCAGGTGGGAAGCCCAGAAGAGGCCCCTGGCTCCTGGCGTCGGATCTGCTCAGCTCCAGGCTGTTGTTGCTATTAGACAAATGAACCAACAGATGGAAGATCTTTCTCTGTCTCTCCTTGTCTCTATAGATCGGCCTTTACAATAAAACTGAATACGTCTTAAAAAGAGAAAAGGAAGTGACTGAGCAAAGAACTCCCTGGTTATGAAGTGGCTGGAACTGATAATGGATGTGCTGATGCGTGAATAAGGACTAACTGAACCGTCTTAACGGTACACACAGGGTGACATTGCCAGAACTAGATATGTAACAGCCATCTCCAAGTCAGTAGGAATGTCCCAAGGGCTGTGTGGACGCCCACCAAAACAGGATCAGTAATGCCACGAGTGGGCACTACCATTCGGGCTGTAAGTGCCCACGTCCTGGCATCTTGCTCTCACCTGCTGACAGTGACAGGTCATCTAACAAGTCCACCTGCAGGTTCCTTGCTCTCCAGCCTCTGGACTTACTCTGACTTGGCATCATGTAGGGACTGGTTCATCACTGGTCTGCCTTGTTTCAGTGTTAACTTGGGTGATATGTGTGATCCACGTATCTTGGTGAAAGGCAATACTGTGCGTAAAACACTCTTTGAATAAAAGCCTTCTGTTATCTTGGCTAGCGCATGACTAATGTGGACAGCCTAGAGGAAGCCTTGGGAACTTCCTAATGAAGAGATCCAACTAGGACATTCTTGGAGTGTCTCTTTAGAACGACAGACTTTCAAGAAGAGGCTGAATGCCCTAGCAGTGAAATAGCTGGTGAAGATGGGCACAGCCTGCTTTAGAGCTCCTGACTGTGGAATGCTGAACTGGAGTGCTCTGTAGCTGTGTGTCCTGCTCCACTTCAGACTATAAAGAGGAAGAGGCAAAGAGCTTGTCTATGTCATGCAAAGGGCAGTTCCCAAAATGCAGGTGTAACCCAGAACCCTTTGTTAGTAGCACAAATGTGAGCAGGTCCTTTACCTGTAAAATGGGGACAATAGCCTACTTCATTTAAGGTGCTGACCTTTCGAAATCTTAGCACCCTAAATGTTATTACTGGCCCCAGAGGGCCTGGTGAAATGCCATAACCCGTTAAGTCTTATCAGTCCACAGTTAATTTCCATTTTCCGGTGTTGTTGCGAACTGGCTATGCACAAGAATCTCAAGAGATGTTTGTGTGCTTGTTACAATACTCCTGCCCACACCTGGCGGTGATGTGCGCAGAGTTATAGCTTGCTTCACATTCGTAAATCAGACATTGCTTTCCAAGGCACATGGAGATTCAGATTCCAAAAATTCATGTGTCTGGTAATAACACAGAAGTCTTTTTTTTTTTTTTTTTTTTTTTTTTTTTTTTTTTAGTTTAGGACAGGATTTTAGAAGCTATGACCCCTTACACAGAGAACAGGAAATTCCTCCAACAGTATCTTCAGCAGGTTGTCCCCACCCCTAACTTAAATATAGCCACGGAAGGTATGTTAAATAGTCTTACTCACTTGTGAACAGCTGCCTTTTGCTCAGTTGTATCCCAGTTCTAATATTTTCTATACTGCTCCTCCCCATGTTCCCTCTTCTACCTTCCTTGCCTTGCGCCTTCTGTGCCCTTTGCGCATGTTTTCCTGTCAACATGTAACTTGCTGACGGTTGCAAAATAATTATTACCCAAGAGACAGTGGGCGCATACCAACAATGTGATTGCCTCATTAATGAGGGAACCCATAAAGTGGGTTCAAGAGAGAATTTGAAGAACCACAGTTGCTATAGCAAATGCGAGCAAAATGGCATGATGAATCAACATTTGATGCAGCCTAGTTAACATCCTACACAGCAATTAAACCACAGCATTTTACCGCAGGGTTCCACCACTGGAAGGAAAACATCGGTTTCTAAGGAAATCATGTCTAAGTTCACAGAACTGTTAAAAATGTAGACTTAGGGCCCGGCGCGGTGGCGCAGTGGTTAAGGTCCTCGCCTTGCACACCCGGGATCCCATATGGGCGCCGGTTCTATCCCGGCAGCCCCGCTTCCCTTCCAGCTCCCTGCCTGTGGCCCGGGAAAGCAGTCGAGGATGGCTGAAAGCTTTGGGACCCTGCACCCGCATGGGAGATCCGGAAGAGGCTCCTGGCTTCAGATCGGCATAGTATCGGCCGTTGCGCTCACTTGGGGAGTGAATCATCGGACAGAAGATCTTCCTCTCTGTCTCTCCTCTCTGTATATCCGCCTTTTCAATAAAAAATAATAAAAATAAATCTTAAAAAAAAATGTAGACTTAATCCACAACAAATTGTCAGAAATCATCAGAATTTTCTCCTAGAGAGACAAGGGATCCTGAAGTGGACCCATTCCCCCCCACCTTTTTTTTTTTTTTTTTTATTAATAGTAGTAGTGCTGTAGTCGCAAGTCCATCATTCCCCTGAGTGTATCAACACACTTCTGGTAGAGGCACCTTTCTTCTTTCTTGTACTGTTACAGTTATTTGCATACCAGACTTAGCCCCTTTCTCCTTTTGAGAAGAATACTTTCTGCTGGTTATCTATTAACAAGTAGTTGGAGGGAGAAAAGCCCATTGGATACACTAACTTGCAGGTATCTCGAGGACCACCCTGAGCTTCATCTACACTTGTACATCGCTGTAGACCAACACACAGAATTGCATCTTAGATCTGTCCTAAGCCATCCTAACACATAGCTATTCATTAGATGAACATACATACATAGCTGATTACGTGAACGTACGTACAAAGCTACTGATTCTATTCATGGCTAGATGAACATGTGAGCAGTGTCTGTGTCTTAAATTTAGGGGAACAGACTTGGAGAGTAGCAATGGCACCATGTAACCATATAGCCACTATGCGGAATCAGGTCTCTAGTCAGAACAACCCAGATTTCCTAACCATGGGCCAATGCCAATTCTCAGACAAGTTCTGTCAAATTGGGCAACTAAAGAACAAAAAAGCCTCGTGCTGCTGACTTGGATTTAGTCAGTATTTGGACATCGAGATCCAGGTGGCCCATTGTGAACCACAGTGAGGGGGGCATTCTTCCCAGGCCAGGGGTCAGGGGTGAGAAGGGCAGCAGCAGCTGGGGTTATGGGCATCCAGGATCAAGGGCTTGCAGCATTATAGGGATGGGCACACCCATGAGAGGTCCAGGAGCACAAAGTGGGTTTGCACTCCAGGGCCCGGGCATGGTGCTGGGACTTAGCCAGCACAGCAACAGCACGGAGGTGTGGCTGAATGCCAGTGCCAACAGATGAGGTGGGCAGAGGTCTCAGGACGCCATGGCATCCTGTTATAGCAACACTACTGTCACGCAGGCTGGCAAAGCCTGAGGTACTCTGGCTTTACTACAGTTCTACAAAAAATGGAGAACAAATGCCACAGTTCTCTTTCTTCACCAGCTTTGTTTTCTTCTCTCTTATTTTGAATCTATTCCCCCAAAAAACAAAAAAGCCAAATAAAATTGCCTTTTGTTGCTTCTTGGCCTTTTGGCTAAGATCAAGTGTAAAATTGCCTTTCATTGCCCCTTAGGACTTGTTCGTTGTTGAAATTGTGAAGTCATTGTCCTCAAACATAATTTGGTGTCTTATACTTCAATCGTGTTGTAAAGCTCCAACAACACTTCCCTTGTTAGCTGACCCTCCAAACGAAACCGGTGCAGCTTTGGCCGGGCCCTTTCATCTCCATAGGCTTGTCTGTTCTCTACTATCCCTTCAAAATCAGAAAGACAGTGGTTGGGAACATGACCTTCAACTGCTCAAAGTGGTTTACTACTGAGGCTTTGAGGCATGGTTGATCAGGTGATGTCGTATTTGAAGTCATGAGTCTTTGATCAGAATGCAAGTCCATGTTTAATTTTGTTTCTGTAGATCTGTAACTAGCCGCTTTGCCATGACCTGAGTTAAGACCGGCTGGCCAGGTTACCGTGTGTAAACAGGTGGAGATCATAATTTATGTTGTGCACCATCAATCTTATCGAAGCTCATAAAATTGAGAAGATAAACTTTCAGAGTGTAATTTACCAAATCAAATAGTTGCACAGTTGAACAGTTGATAGATATACCTCCACCAGGTAGATTGCTGAAATATTATAGATATGATAAATGTTCAGAGAAATTGTCCATGATTTCACTGATTTTACAAAGGATGACATGATTTCATTGATATGTAGTGTAATAAATAAATCAGCCATGGGCTTGGTGCGATAGCCTAGCGGTTAAAGTCCTCACCTTGAATGCGCTGGGATCCCATATGGGCACTGGTTTTAATCCCGGCAGCCCCACTTCCCATCCAGCTGCCTGCTTGTGGCTTGGGAAAGCAGTCGAGGATGGCTCAGAGCATTGGGACCCTGGACCTGCATGGGAGACCTGAAAGGAGCTCCTGGCTCCTGGCTTTGGATTGGCGCAGCTGCAGCCATTGTGGCTGCATGGGGAGTGAATCAGCGGATGGGAGATCTTGTCTCTCCTTCTCTCTGTGAATCTTACAACATGTATGTGCATGCACTTTC